CCAGGGCGCAATCCGGGAAACCCTGGATCGAATCCCACATTGGGCTCCCGGTGCATGGAGCCTGCTTCTCCCTCTGCCTGTGTCTCTGCCTCTCTCTCTCTCTCTCTCTCTCTCTCTCTCTGCTGTGTGTGTGTGTGTGTGACTATCATAAATAAAAAATAATAAAAAAATACAATGTGGCCCACATTTTAAGAAAAAAAAAAAACCTAACAAGAAAGTTAAAAAAGGTAAAAATAAGTAGAGCTCTGAAGAGAAACACCACCATAGAAGATACATAGATTAACATACAAAATGACCCTTGGCATCACTTGCTATTAGGAAAAGGCAAATTAAATGAGATACCACTTACTACTGCACATTAGGGTGGGGCTAACATTTAGAAAAAATGACAAAACATTTTGCTGACCAGCATGAAGAACCACCAGGACCTCTAATGGGAATGAAGAGCCCTCAGACACTTTAGAAAGGAGTCTGGCAGGTTTCTTACAATGGAAACATAGTCTCATTATACCTGGAATAGTTGTACTTCTACATATTTACCCATCTGGACCAAAAACTTATGGCTACACCAAAAGCAGCACATGGATATTTATAGTAGCTTTATCATCATGGCCCCAAACTGGAAGGAACCAAGATGTCCTTCAGTAGGTGACCATATAACCAAAACCAAAATTTATAACCATGGCATGGAATACTATCCACCAATGGAAAACACTAAACTATGAAGCCACATGAAGACATGGATGAATGTTACATGAATATTTCTAAGTAGAAGAAGCCAGTCTGAAATGATACGTAATATATTATCTCTTTATGATCTAGGAAAAGATGCAAAACTATAGAAATGCTAAATAGATCAGTAGCTACCAGGGGTCTGTGAAAGGACAAGATTGAGTAAGTGAAACATTCTGTATGATACTTGAATGGTGGCCAATATGCATTTGTCAAATGCCATGGAGTTTTATAGCAAAAATAGTAAATCTTAATGAATTTAAATTTGAAAATAATCACTTAGGAGGTAGATGAATCCCAAGATAAAATAATGTTACAGAATAATTTCATTAAAAATATAGGTAGAGGAAGGAAGGGGCTAAGTAACTTGGAATGACTGGAATCTGTAAGAGCAAAACTATCATATAGTAAAAGTCATTCATTATAAACAAATGCATTAGATTATAAGGTATGTTCATATAAACAATCAAAATATGAAATGTCAGAAAATAGAAGAATTATTTACTGATACAAAAGAAAAAACTGGACATGATCTAACTTACTATTTTTATTTATTTTTAAAAATTATTTATTTGACGTAGAAAGAGAGAGAGTGAGCACAAGTAAGCAGAGCAGTAGGAGAAGCAGGTTCCCCACTGAGCAGGGAGCTTTTTAAAAGAGTTTTAAGTCAAAATCTTCAAATGAGAGGAAATACAGAACTGAACTAGGAAAACAAAAATCGCAAGAATAAGTTGGAGAATGAGCTATAGATAGTTTAGATAATTGGGGGTATGCTTAATGAAAAAAAGAGCTACTTAATTTCAGTAAACAGCACTGCGGTGTTTTGCCTACCCACCTGCCATGCCACACTCCCCAGCTTTGTGGAAGCCGTGACCCTGGCCCAGTTCTGGTGCAGGTGCAGCGTGCTGGTGCCCGTGTAACACTTACATTGTTCACAGAGAATTGTGGTTGTGTGTTCTGACCTCAGAGGCTCCAAGAGGTGCAGACTCAGGGTCTTTCCTTTGTTTCAACTGCCTCAGAGCTTTTAGGAGCTCCTGGGTGACACTGCCAAGAGCATGTCAGTGAACATGCCAGCCACACCTGTCTGGGCAAGGGGCCAACCAGAGAGGCCAGAGGCAGGCAGACCGAACACGTGGGAAGGAAGATGCTGGGACATAATCAAGGGATGAAGGACACTGAAAATCTGTGCACTGGGCAATCCAAGGGCCATGCTGATGCCCGTGGCTGGACATATTCTTAGAAAACCCTTGAGAGGACCACATGAGTTTGCCTTCAGCACCAGAGCAACAGCAAGGGAAGGGAAGACAGTTAACTCCCTGCCTGCGCCCTGTGGAGCAGAGCGCTGGCGCAGGGGCGTCTGCAGTGACTAGCAGAGTGCTTTGCCGTGGTTTGTCTCCCGGCATTTAAGGAGCTCTCTCTGAAATCACAAGGTGACCACTAGGCTAACAGAAGAGACTTCAGGGCCACACACAACAAAGAGCCATTACAAACAGCTGAGAAATGTCACTCAACAAGGACAGCCCTCATAACGTAGCAACAAACCCTGGGGAGGCAGGAGGATCTGATTTCCAGAGACACAATATAATATTTAAAATATCCAGTATTCAACAAAAAATGATGAGCTGTATAAAGAAACAAGAAAGTATACCCCACTCTTGGGAAATAAAAATTGAAAGACTTGGTCTCTGAGGAAGCACAGACATTGGACTTACTAGACAAAGGCTTTAAAACTAGTGTCTTGGGCAGCCGGGTGGCCCAGCGTTTTAAGTGCTGCCTTCGGCCCAGGGCCTGGTCCTGGCTGGAGACCCGGGATCGAGTTCCACGTCAGGCTCCCTGCATGGAGCCTGCTTCTCCCTCTGCCTGTGTCTCTGCCTCTTTCTCTCTCTCTGTGTCTCTCATGAATAAATAAATAAAATCTTTAAAAAAATTAAAAAATTAAAAAACTAGCATGTCAGTGATGCTCAAATAATTGAAGGAAACCAGAAGAACGGTGTTTCACCAAATGGAGAGTTTCAGTAAAGAGATAGAAATTATAAAATGGAATCATATAGAAATTCTGCAACTGAAGAGTACAACTGAAATGAAAAATAAGATTGCAACATTGGATCTGAGCAGATTAAGGAAATAACCAAGGAATATGAAGAAAAGTCTATTGAAATTATCAGGTAGTTGATAAATGAGCCGAAGTATTTTTACTTTATATTTTTTACTTCTTTACAGCAGACTAGGCCTTAATCTTTACAGACTTTAAAAGCCTGCCAGTGCCAAACTCAAATTTTTACACTGAATTGTTTTAAACAGCTCGAATTAGCAGATATTTAACTGTTTATGGCCTGCGTGCTGTGCATACCCTGACATTGCACACAGTGTTAGCCATAAATGTAAACTATAGACTGTACAAGTCTCCAAGCTGCTGCCAGCCAACACCCTCTCCCCCTGTACTTCTGACCCAGAGACTCCCCATCTGTGACAGAGACTTCATTTAGATGTTGCCTCTGGAAGGAGTCAACTTGTGCGGACTTCCCTGTACAGGTATGTTGTCAGTGTGCCACCCAAACAAAGCTAGTTGTGATTCTGTCCCCTTTGTAGTCCTAGAATTTTCCTTTATCTGCTGTAAAATCCCTTGATCTCAGTACAACTGCCCAGCACATTCACATCCCTGGGTGGGGGGAGATGAACCCCCCTGGGACAGGGCCTCTTCTGAGAAGGGGGGTCTACATCAATCTTAGGGGCTACGGTACTAGCACAGACCCCACCCCCAGCAGGCTCCAGGACCAGCCCCCTCAGTCCTAGAGACACACTGAAGCAGAGGGTAGGATTTCTGGCTGAGCTATCAGATGGGCCTCAAGTTTAGTTGAGGCCCAGGATTCTACATTAAACCAACTGTGGCATGGGAGTAAATTACATATTGTAAGCAGAGTACATATTATAATACATCCTGGTTATATTTTTAAGGATTGTGAAATATTTCAATGTAAAAATAAGACAGAGTGGTATATTCACATCTCAAGTTAATTTGTAAAATACTACTTGTAAACACAAAGTACTTATTACCTGTAATAACAGCTTGGTGTATGCAGTGCCACTCATTTTCAGAATTTTTTTTTGGGGGGGGGATTTAAAAAAAATGAAAAAACTCTTCATCATAAGAGTTATGACGAAGGCACTAAGCCTACTTCCACTTTAGAACTAAGGAAAATGAGTCACAAAAAGGTTCAGTAATGACATCTCATCGGCTTGTGACAGTGCAAATTAGAACCCATGGTGTTTTTCCCAGGGTCTGAACTTCTAATCACTCATATGTTCCCTTAAACCCTTGTTCACACCTCCCTGTGTCCCTGACTGATCAGAGCCTGCCTCTCCAGCCCAGGCGCCAAGACGCTGGATATTGATTGCTCATTGTCCTCACACATGACTTGACTTACCCTGGCTACACAGTGGAATCACTGTGGATATTTTCTTTAAATATCAGTTCCACCCAGAGATGTGCTCATTTAATTGGCCTCAGGCTAAGATTCTGGGATTGTGCCAGTTTGGGAAGAGAACGAATTAGCCAAATTGTCTCTAGAGAACATCTTTCCTTGAGGTCTAGGTCCGGTATTGGGATTTGGTGAAGAGTAATCCATTTCCATGCCCTGGGACCAAAGCCAGGAAGACTGCCTTTTTGAGAATTTTCATTTTGTTTGGAGAAGACTACATTAGGTTAATGATAAGGGCTTATATGGTTTCTGATAGGTGAGGGGATTTTATCATTCTAGAATTTTCTTTGCAGGACTGCTATGGGGGTGCACAGCAGTCTCTTTTTGGGGACCAGGTAGGTGTGTGATTCAGGAATCACTTGAGTTAAGATGTAAGATGTGATTGTGGGATGAACTTCTGCCCCCACAGAACCTTCATGGAAAAACTCCAAGTAATGTTCTTGGTCTGGGAAGACCAAAGTTGCCCAAGGGGCCCAGTAGGGCTGGAGACAACCTCATGATATACACCAAGATGTCTGGGATACTGGCCTCATGGTCCTGCAAGGAGGGTCATAGCACAGTGAGAAACCTGTCAGTTGGGGGGGAGGTCTCTGTACCACCACCACCCGGGTGCAGAAGGACTCTACTAATGGTGGGAAATTGGAGTGAGGGAGCTGAGCTGTGTGGAAAGGGCTATTGGAGAAAGGGGATTCTTAGAGTCTTGTTGCATCTCTAATCCACGTACCAAGGAATGCAGGCTCAAACCCGTGTTTACGACTGTACAGAAAAAACTAGAACCTCAACAACAGATTTATTAGCAGTAGGGTTTATTGCTTAAATATTTACAAGTAATAATGTATTGAAAAAGTTTTATTTCTTATAAAATTCTGTATTCAATATGCTTGAATCACTTTTTTTTGCATTTATATGCCACATTTTCCCCATGAATAGTTATTTTTCTCAAAATCTTGAATTGTTGGCTAAATTGAAAGTTAGAGGCTCTAATTTTAGAGATTCTTCCCTAGACTTGGTTTTCTAATGTGAATTTTCTACAGTGATTTCACAACTGCCATCTCTTCATATAAGAACTTCAGTATTGGCTGAGAAATAAGTGATCACTGACACTGAGTGATTTGTACAGCCCCAAGTGCTTCTTTATGAACAAAGGGTTTCTGAGGATTTTTCACCCCAGTATGAATATTCCTCAAGAATATTCATCCTTACATCCTGTGTTAGTGTTTATTCAGACTTCACTGGGGTTTTCTGTGTACACTACACCTGGTGCTGGTGGCATACTGTTCACAGTGATTATAGATCTAGAGGTTCTCCCCCGTGCAGGCCCAATAGTGTGTTTAAAGGTGAGAGCTGGTGCTGAAGACCTCTCCATTCCTTATAGTGACAGAGTGAGTTCTCTCATGTTACCTATGGTCAGACCACTGATGGATGCTTTTGCTGCATAAATGTCACACATAAAGGGATTTCTTCTGTGTAAGTTTGTGTATGTCAAATGAGTAAGAATGATTGAAGGATCTTCTACATTGATTACAGACAATTTCTTCAATGTGCAAGTCCTCTGGTGTGTTTAAGTGTTAAAGCTATGGTTGAAGTCTCTTCCACATTCCTTAGGCTTATAATATCATGTTACCTAAGGTCGGAATATTTACTGAAGGCATTCATAATTTTCTCTCCATTGTGGGTTCCCTCATGTCGTCTCAGAGCAGAACATTGACTGAAGGATTTCCCACATAGATGACATTCATAAGGTTTTTCTCCAGTGTGAGTTCTCTCATGGCGTCGAAGGGCAGAACATTTACTGAAGGCTTTCCCACACAGATGACATTCGTATGGTTGCTCTCCAGTGTGTGTTCTTTCGTGCTGTCTGAGGTTGGAGGACTGGCTGAAGGCTTTTCCACACAGATGACATTCATATGGTTTCTCTCCAGTGTGAGTTAGATTGTGTTTTCTAAGGTCAGAGCTTTGAATAAAGGCATTCCCACAGATATGGCATTCATACGGTTTCTCTCCAGTGTGAGTCATCTCGTGTCTCCTAAGGCTCGAGCAATTACTAAAGGCTTTTCCACACAGGTGGCACTCACACGATTTACCTCTAGTGTGAATTTGCTTATGGTGATTAAGGTATGACTGGTCACTAAGAGATTTTGGACACTGTTTACTGATAAAAGGTGTCTTTTCTGTGTGAGTTAACAAATGTTGAGTCAACATGAAGCTATGAGTAAAATCTTCTTCCAAATCACTGTATTCAAAGGGATCCTCTGGAGTATGAGATTTCTGCTTTTGGGAAAGAGATGAAAGGTTGTTAAAGCTTGGCCTATATATCTATATGTTCATTTGTCTACATAGGAATCCTAAACTAATCATTCAGTGATAGTCTCCAATTGAAATCTTCCCCCATATTACTTGCATACACATGATGTGTCTGTCCCCACTACATAAAGATTTTTATCTTTTGTAGCATTCGAACTACAGAGCTTAAAGATTAATTTTGAAGACTTCAATATGTTTCAAAGACTAGGCATATAATCAGTGTTTATGCAGTTGTCTTTTACTTTTAAGATATAGGTTAGGCAGCCTGGGTGGCTCAGCCATTTAGTGCTGCTGTTGTGCTCAATTACTAACATCCTATTTCTAGGTTTTTCATTTGGATGACCAGGGTTACTACCCATGAAACTTACTGCTGGTATGATTGCAGATGTGTCCTTTCTGCTGATATGTTGTGTGGCTACCATTTCTTGTTCTTTAAGGGCACTTTCTCTGCCTAAGATAATTGGAAAAAAACAAATATTTAGAATGGCATTAGGGGAATGAAATGTTGAAAAGCACCAAGACCCACATGAGTATGTTTTAAAACTTGGCACTTTGATGGAGTAAATATATCAAATGAAGGAATATTCTAGGAATCCTCTAATTGACAAAGATTTTCAGGATTGAATTATGACAATATTATAACGAAGGTAAGTTGGATAAGGAAAGAGAAGGGAAACCTTCAAAGGAGAATACTAGGGCAGGAGTTACTGCCTGAAAGTTTAACTTCATTAAGTACATGACTATGCTTTTCCTAAAGCCAAAAAAGACATTGGCGAGAGGAAACATGAATCATCATTGACACATGCAAGGAATAATGACAACATCTGAATAATTTTGCCCCAGTGTCCATCCTCTAAATTTTAGAAAATATCACTCATTTGACAAAATCATCAGTTGATATTTCCAAGAGCTTACTACCAAGTAGATACCTCCTCATACTGAAGCACAGGCCCCTGCTGCTCACCTGGACTCTGGCCTTGGAGAAATCCAGTTCCTTCACTCCACAGCTCTTCTCCTTGCTCCAACTGGAAAACTACATCTGATTTGCAATGCTGATACCCTGTTCATTGAAAAAAGGTACAGGGATTTTTAAATTCTGCACTAAGAAAAGTCCTCAGACACAAAAACTATAATCATCAAGCCCAGGACAGGGTACTGAGGAGGAATAAGGAAAATACTGAAGTTCAGTACAGGCAACAATAGCTTGAATGGAAAAAAACTGAAATCCACATAGTGTATCCCAAATAGTGAGGACCTCTGGATGCCGATGTCTAAGCCCAAATTCACAGACACAATGCAGAATCCTCAGTCTTTTCAGAAATGGAGAAATTAAATTTCTCCATAGTGGGCTGAATATTACTTTCTAAGAGACACCAGATAAGCTCTACAGGAATAATCAAAGTTCTGTTATTGTCACTAGTCTGGTTTCAACCCTTGGCATAGCAACTAGAGCAGAATAATAATTCAGAAAATGTTTAATCATTTTATTATTGAGTTCCCAGTTCTGCTCTGAGTGTGAGAGACTGAGTAGCAACAAAGACATTGAATTGTGGTTAAAATTATATTCTAATGGGGTGACAAGCTAGATGTAGTAAAATATAAAGAAACAACCTTCTTTCAAGTAAGGTCTATGAAAGGTTCAGGCTAGAGTGGAGTGGGTATGCAGAAGTTGTTCCAGATACTTGTTAACTGGCTACCTGCCCGCCCACCCACCCATCCGTATATGTATACATGTTGGCAGACTCACCCAGAGAGACCAGATGACGTATATTTTCCAGCATTACATCTCTGAACAGCTTTCGCTGGGACATGTCCAACAGGGCCCACTCTTCCTTCGAGAAGTCTATAGCTACATCTTCAAATGTCACTGATTCCTAAAACATCATGGATTTTCTGTTTTAGACAAAGCATTCCCTACCAATGTCCAGTGTAGGAGGGTTAAGATGACAGCACTGAGGAAGAGGGTGGAGGAGCTAGGTTTGTAGAAAGACCAAACTTAATCTGGGGTTCCTGTCAATTCATTCTCGGTGCTAAACTGGCATCTGCCTTTTAGATACATCACAGAGATACAGTCTGAATTAATAAAAAATTTATTATAAGGGAATATCACATGAAGTGTGATATAATATAACCTGTAATTTTTTTTTTTTTAACAACAGATTAATTATGGGGGCACCTGGCTGGCTCAGTCAGTAGAATATGTAACTCCTAATCTCTGGGTCATGAGTTTTAGGCCCCATGTTGGCTGTGGGGCCTACTTACAAGATAAATACATAAAATAAAAAGAAAGTCTAAAACAAAAACTGGTTAATTCTGATTTCAGACATGTGATTATAAAATTGGCATTTGAAAATTCATAACTAAAACCCCCTTTCTGATTAATTTCAAGTAACTTTACAGACTCATCATCAGGCAAATAACAACCATGACTTGCCATTTTTAAACCATGACACCATTCCTGTAGATGAACCTTTAATAACCTCTTAGGAGACCTGATGAACTAATGCATGCAGTTCTTCCTATCTAAGTAAACATGTATTAAATACAAGCCATTTGTCTGTTCCTTCCCAAGAACGTTGAAACCATGTCTAACATTCTTCAGAAATGAACAAGTTTCATACAAAACTTGGTATATACAGTGTAGGGTTGCTCAACTCTGCAGACTGAGGCATTCACAAGGTATAAGGTCAGAACAGAAGGTTCAGCAGCACAGGCCAGGAAACTCTGAGATGGCTGTAATGAGAGCAGCCCTAGCATGACTATTCCGTGTTATGAGGACACCAACTCCTACTTTTCTCTGGGACTTTAAAACACCAGTTATCACCTGTCTCCTTCCTTTGCTACAGGGAACAGAAGTCTCTTGACTTGTTTTGGTTTATGTAGTTCTTAAAAGGTTTCTACAGGATCTTCAATTTTATTATATGTCCTTCTGAATATATAACCACAATTATGGAGTTAATATTCCCTATACAGTAATTGGAGTTATCAAATATGAAAAGGTTAATTACAAAAAGGTAAAACGTATGACTGGGGGTAAGAAGGATAATGAAAATTTAGTTATCTTTTAAAGAATTTTTTAAAAGTGCAAATTTATTCTATCAAAACTTAAAAACGGAAAAAATATAAATGATTTCTCATGTGTTCTGTGGTCTCAACTTCTCTTGTGCTCCCTTCAATACTCCACAGCCCTTACCCAGCACCTGTAACATGGAAATGCCCCTCCCTATTGGACCAGTGTTCGCCTCGCTCATCTGTTCACCACAGCCCTCTATGAAAGGACCATTAGAGCCAACACCATGATTAATGGGTGAATTCTTTCCCAATAAGGATATGGACTGAGAGAAGGCAAACAACTTCTTTTCTGTAAATACATAAGCTTAATGGAAGCTTAAAATTAGGGATAAATTAATGTGATATTAGGAAGGTTATTAGTTATTGAGGAGTTCCTGACTCATTATAACCATTCCAGAGTCCTGGGGACATCTCACTGGAGCTTAAATCCCAGAAGACTTCCTGATTGCACTTGAACATTCAGGCCAATAGGAAAAACTCCCCCATCTGATGGCACTAGGGTGTTATTTCAACAGAAAGAGGCTACTCACCAATGGCTGCATTGTCAGTAACTTAGTTGTCAGGTGGCTTTCTCTGTTTTTTCACTCACAAACAGTCTGAGCACTAAGCAGGCAAAGCTGAGGATGGAGAGAGATGCCATGAGATTCCAGTCCTATGCACAATTTCCGTCTTACTTGTCACGAAGCCCCAGACCTTCACTGGATGTGACCTCCAGCCTAACCAACAAACATGCAGTGCAGTTTACAAGAAATGCAGAGGACTCGCTTCCTCTTCCATGGTCAAAAGAAGACTAGGCCTATAGTTGCTAATAAAAAACATACAAATAAACGTATTTTATAAATAAAAACATTGAAGGTATTGAGTTAAATAGGTTAATCAGCCCACAGCACCCAGTTTTAATTCCCTCCCTGATTCCAAAGCATAGAAATCCCAGACTCATGCCACATGTTGAGTTTAGTTTCCATCTGTAGGTAAATACTGTGGATGTTCTCAGATTTCCTTCTCATATCCAAGCAGTGGTTCCCCAGCATCCACAGCCTTCTGGAGCCACACTCCTTTCCTGCTCTCCCTCAATTCTCAGATCTGTCCTCTATGGACTTAGATGCCAAAAAACTAAAAAGTCTGTTTTATGATAAGGTTAAGCAATTCAAGGATTTATTCCATTTGAAGGGATTGGTGGCACTCATTCTGCAAGTCTAGTCCTTAAAAATCCCCTGCATCATAATGTTCAGGAGTATATGAATCATAATATTCCTGTCACTTATTATCCTCTATTACTCATTAAAATATCCAAGAACCTTGAAACCATCTCTGGTATTCTTCAGAAATAAACAAGTTTCATATAAAACTTGATATGTTTCAACAACAGCCAGATAATTCAGAATAGCTGTGGTTCAGGAAGAAATCTAGTTGCTCTAGATTATTTTAGTAATCTAATCTTGAAATCCTGTTATATATTAATCTTTATTACCTGCACTAACCCTGCATTTCATTATACACAAACACATATGTATATGTACATGCAAATTTACATATATACACACAAATGTGTGTGAGACACACAGTGATAAAGCATTTATAAACTAAATTCTCCCCTAAAATACCAATAGTTAAATGTATTTCATGGGAAAATGATGATAATGGGTCATAAACAAAAGTAGGATTAACTCACCCATTTGTACCTGAGGTCCAGAAAAAGGAAAAAAAGACATTTGTATCAAATGCGACTGTGTGGATATTTACATGTATTCATTTATTTAATCCTCACAATAAATCTGGTGGTTTTATTTACCAGTTTAACAAATGAACAAAAGTGGTTCAAAAATTTTTAATAACCAAGTTACATAGAAAATGACCTATCTGTATTTTAATTTTGCTCCGCCTATCTCCCATGCTCAAATTCCTTAAGCTTAAAATTAAACACCACACCTAGGTTTTACCTGGAATATCCCAGCATGTCTGTCTTAATCAGAAGCCCTACTATTATTACAACTTCTTCTCCTTTAAGTTTTTCACAGAAATTATACCCCATGTTCAGTTTTCTGTACATGGAAAGCTCTATATATACTGACCAATTCTCAAACATCAGGCTTTCCTCTTCTTCATTTTTCCTGCCCACTTTAATCCACACTTAACTCATTTCAACAGGCACTTACCAGAACCACCATTTTTATGCTCCCTGGACTGTTAACCACATTTCCCCATCAAGATCTCAACAGCAGGTGACTCCACGTACCTGCCTTTTTCTGTGACTGTATTTGGCACACATGGCTAAGAAGTTGATCCCTGTCTAAAAACAGAACTGCTACTCCAAGGGGTTTCCAAATGTGTCTAGCAGCTCTAAATCGTACCTCCATGCTCCATAAATATTTCAAATCTTCTCAATGCCCTTTGCCTCTACATAGTTTCATCTTTCAAATGACAAGATTATTCCCTACTACACATACTGTGTTAGTTTGCCAAGCTACTATAACAAAGTTCCACTCACTGAGGGGCTTAACCAACAGAAACGTATATTCTCACAATTCTGGCCACTGGATATGAGAGGAAGATGTCGCCAGTGCTGGTTTCTTCTAAGGTCTCCCCACTTAGCTTGTAGATGGCAACCCCCTGCATGTGTCTGCCATTAATTCTCTCTTCTTGCAAAGACACTAGTCAAACTGGATTAGGGCCCACCCTAATGACCTCACCTTAGTTATGTTTTAAGTCCCACCCTCCAAATACACGCTAAGTAAGAGTTGGGACTTCAACATTTGACTTTTGAGAACACAAAATTCAGTCTATGAGAGAGATGAATTACATTAAGGTGACACACTAACTCAATTTTTCATCATATAATATCTACAGATATTCCTACATTCATATCCATTGGTTCCTCCTTTTCTCCCATCAAATAGAAGTCATGCTACCTCTAAATCCAGAGTCTCCCAAGTGAATTCATTTCTCTCCTGTTTTGTTGAGAACTGCATTACTATTTATAAATTAAATCTCCTTTCCCAAAAACCTGTCCATCTTTCCACGATCAATCCCCTGCATCATTTAAGTTCATTATATCTCTTGTAACTTGAAGCACAAATTTCCTCAGGATCTAATTTATCCCCAGTTCCTGACCTTCAAATTCCTAAGTTCCTCCCTTCAAATTCAAACCAGAAGTGCAGTAGTCCTTTGCTCACATCCTCCTCTGCCTTTGACCTACAGTGGCCACCACTGATTATTTTATAAATACATACTGTTAACATCACTAATGGTCTCTCCAGAAATAAATCCTTACATGGAAACACAGAGAGGTTAATAAACCTTGACCTCCTTTTCAGAACTTCTTCCCTCCATAATCATTCCTTCTCCCATGTCCTCTGCAAAAAATTCCTCAATCCTATTGGAGTATCTCAAGACTTAGTGGGAGTTCCTTTTCTTTTTTATACCATATTCTGGCAGGCTCACACATTTCTTCAGTTGCTCCAGTTTATACTATTGCTGTCTCTAAATTGAAAGTATCCAGTTTCTTGTGTGGATTTCCATTTCTGAGTGATATTTCTGCTTGCAAACTTACACCTAAAATGAAGTGTTTCTCAGGACAGTGACTCCATTCCTCCAACTACAGAAATTATTCCTTTGTCTGAATCTTAGTCAATGGCTGGCTCCCTCTGAGAATTGATATTTTAAATGCCTTTACCAAACCAACAAGCACACTGCTATTATTTTTAACCCAGGCATTATTATTATCATTCTTTGTTTCCACCCCCATCCACGAACTTCCCACCCCATCTTCCTTCTACTCCAGTTCCAGTTTAAATCTCCATTACAGATATACTTTATTAAACTCCAACCAAAGTATGTGTTTCTCTTGCTCTCTGCCTTGACTTAAATAGAATTACATCCTTTCAGGCTAGTCACGGAATTGGTTATTTATTTATTTGTGCTGTCATTTCAGTGGTTTAAATGCAGAAAAATCTACCTATGAATGGTAGATTTCAGCAAGTTTCCTTGTGACCATTACATTTGAATGATAAATACAGAGAAATTCTATGTCCACAGTAAGGAAACCTGCCCCATGTGCCTGTAGCCAGACACACCATCACTTTCTGATTATAAATTCCTCTCTGAGATGCAGGAGTCTGTCTTTCCTGCTAAAAATTCTACCCAGTACTTAACCCACACCCAAATAGATGGAAAAGCTAAGGAAGCCAACTCTTTGAAGATGCAGCCACCACACAAAGGACCTCAGAGTTTCTTTCTCACTCCAGATAAATCACCCTTCTGATAGTGATCTATCTTTTTAAGTAGTTGATAACCTCATTAGTCACATACAAAACACACTCTGGTCAATCTGGATGCCAGTCAATATAAACCTAATTGAGGCAAGCCTTAAAAAATCTTTTCTAATTAAGTAAATCATAGAGATGCAATTAAGGAAAACAGATGATGCGCTTTCTTCTTCTCTAATGATACTTTTTAGAGTCATTTTAGGTTCATCACAAACTGAGCAGAAAATACAGACAGTTCCTATAGACCTCCTGTCTCCACAAAGAAAGGCCTCCCCTATCAGTCCCACACCAGAGTGGTACACTTATTACAAATGATGAACTTTCACTGCTACATCATTATCTCCCCCAAGTCCTTAGTTTATGTTAGCGTTTACTCATGATGCTACCTACACCTTGTAGTGGCTTTAGAAAATGTATGATGACATGTATCCACTGTTATGGTATCAGCAGAACATTTTCAAAATTGACCTAAAAATCCTCTGCTCTACCTATTCATCTCTGCCTACCCCCTCAACCCCTGGCCACCACTGATTGTTTTCCTGGCGTCATAGTTAATGTCACAGAATATGTAATTTTCAGATTGGCTTCTTCTACTTAGTAACAGGCGGTTAAGGCTCCTCCATGTGTTTTCAGTGGTCTGATAGCTCATTTCTTTTTACCACTGAGTAATATACCATTGTTTGGATATACCATGGTTTATTTATTCATCACCCCCTGAAGGACATTTTGGTTGATTCCACATCTTGGCAATTATGAATAAAGCTGCTATAAAATATTCACATGCAGGTTTTCATGTGGACATATGTATTCAACTCATGTGGAAAAATAGTAAGAAGTGTGATTGCTAGACCACATGGTAAGTACAGGTTTAATTTTGTAAAAACCTTCCAAACAATCTTCCAAAGTGGCTGTACCAGTTTACATTCCAACCAGCAGTGGTTAGAGTTCCTGGTGCTCTACATTCTTACCAGCATTTGGCACACTCAGTATTTTGGATTTTCCCCATTCTAATGGCATATAGTGGTATCTCATTTTTTATTTTTGTGTATTTCCCTGATGACGTATGATGTTGAGCATATTTTCATGGTTCTTTTATATCTGTGTATCTTCTTTGGTGAGCTGGTTGTTCAGATGTCTTGCCCATTTTTTAATGCAGCTGGTCTTATTGTTGAGTTTTAAAATATTTTACATATTATGAATAAGTCCTTTATCATATGGGTGTTTTGCAAATATTTTCTCTCAGCTTGTGGCTTGTCTCCTCATTTTCTTGACAGTATTTTTTACAAAGCATAGGTTTTTAATTTTAATCAAGGTCAGCTTATCAGTTACTTCTTTGATGATCTTGCCTTTGGTGTTGCAGCTAAAAAGTCATTGCTAAACTCAAGGTCACCTAGATGTTTTCTTCTAAGAGTTTTATAGTCTAGATCTGTTATGTATTTTTAGTTAATTTTTTAGGAGTATAAGGTCTGTGTCTAGATTCAATTTTGTTTTGTATATGTATTTCCAGTTGTTACCTGCCCCCCTTATTGTTGAAAACATT